AACAAGAAAGGAAGCTAACTTCGGCACTCCAAAGTTTGTATTCCCTTGCAGTTTGCAGATGGATCATTCTGAAATAATAAAAAAGCTTATATCTCAGAGTAAATAAAAATACGTTAAAAACCATGAATTTATTATTTTTTTCTCTTTCTTTCCCAATCGTTCCTATGGCAGCAATAAGATATGGTCTGATTTTCATAAAATTAAAATAGAAATTCTGAAATATTAAATAATAGCCAATACCAAAAATTATGAAAATATGTTGAAAAACAGCCAAGCTATAATTTTTTTTTCTAAAAAAGCTTTGAAGAAATGAAGAAAGCTTTGAAGCTTCTAACATCCTTGCTTTTTGTGCTTCATCCGATAGCTGTCCAATCGGGAGAATACATGATGCTATGACATCATTTCCATGATATAATACTTTATGAAAAGAGACGGGGTTGTTGCACCAAGAGTATTATATTAATTATTATTCAATAAATATATTATTAATATCTTTGTGTAATCATCAAAAGCCGCTAATAGGGAGCCCTGAAAATACAATTTTTAAAAATATGTGGAATCTGAAAATGAGTTCCAGATTAAGACCTGTTATCTCAGTAGCAATCTGTGCACTTCTGAAAAAACATCTTGCGGTCTTCCCCTAATAGAGTTACCTGCTTGTGGGGTTGGGACGTCTATCTAAACTAACTATTTTTCTACGAATTAATTTTGAATAAATTCCCTTCTGGCCTCAACTTGTATTTTTATTTTATAACCTCTGACTTGCCACACTTTTACTTAAAGCCTGTACGCCACATGAAGTAAACATTTCATGATTCGAATAACTGAAGCTGAAAACATGAATGCAATGATAACTCCCTTCTTTCCTCCCATATGTTCTATTGAGTTCATTTCTGCTAGCTGTGCTAGGCATAATCGCTTGATAGTATTATAAGCCAAGAATTAACCGTTGCATGGTGCTAAGGACTCTGTAACACTTATTTCAGTATAACATTTTTTTTACATTCTTCAATCCTTTGTCGTACTGTGTGATATTGATTTACTGATAAATTAGCATATTCAATCATACTCAACGCTTGTTCAGTAGGCACAGCTTTAGTAAAATTTTGATTTTGAATTTTTTTTTATTTGGTACATTTATTTGAAGAATTCACCGTCAATTTTTTAACAATTGCAGCATAGTTGCGTTTACCTTCCTTAAAAAAGTAACTTGGTTTGCAACTGTAATTTCTTCAGGGCTAGTAGAAGCAATAAGATCTTCCATCTTTTTGTGAGATCGCAGCAATCCTCAATTTTTTTGTGGTCTCCCAAGCATAGATGAGAAAGAAATTTCTGACAATACCGTTTATGATAAATTCAAATTTCCATTCAATCAGATTTTATTTTTTTGTTTAAGAATCGTTCCTCAGAACATTGATTCCAATTCATTTGTAATTGTGAACACAAATTTCATAGAAAAGCTTTTTAGTGCTTTTTAGAGCTTTTTGAAAATTAAACTACGTTATGAATATCCCAGTACATTTTACGACTAACCATACCACATATAGACTGGTCATTTCATACAACGAAAATGGAACCAAAAATTTCTTAGCGACAGGCCCCAGAGCTGTTCGCGACAGGCCCCGAGACTTCGTATGCTCCCGAAGCGACAGGCCCCGTAGCTTCGTGTGCGCTCGGGTTTTTCGCTCTCTCATTCTAATGCTCGCGCACTGGTTGCGAGAGTTCAGTCGCAGAGTGGCGCATCTTCAGAAGGTTGCTCTGCGCTTGAACTCTTCTTTTTATGTATGCATGTTCATGCATTCACGTACACGGGTGCATGTGTGCGATCATTTCATTTCGGCCCAGCAAGAATATTTGTTCTTTAGCTACTTTTCGCGCTAGGTACCCTAATAATATGGGCATATTCACTATTGGGTTAATTGTAAAAAAAGAATGTTATATGTTATAATATATTTCTTACCTTTGCACCAATAAATCATTAAAAAAAAAAAATAATAATAATAATAATAATATATTTCTTAATGTTTCAGCATACATTTCATATTTGTTTACAAATTCAAAACACTGGCAGCAGTGAAATGTTTTGCATATATAAATAAATAAATAAATAAATAAATAAAAAATGAAGATTTGTATATTGTTCCATTTACCTTTACAAAAAAAATATATATATATATATAAAATGAATGGTGATGGTGATGGTGCCTGCATACCCAATCGTCGGTAGGGTATGCAGGCACCATTCGCTCGCAGAACAACAATAAATGCTGATTTAATTCCTCAACCCCGTAAGAGCAGTCGGTGTTTTAAGTGACACCGACTGCAATATGACCTGTTCCTATCACAATAGATGGATTTTTATTCATTCGAATGCTTACATATATGCAAATCATTTCACTGTTGCGGGTGTTTTGAATTTGTAAACATATATGAAATGTATGCTGAAACATTAAGAAATATATTATTATTATTTTACTTTGTTTTGTAGCATCGACCTGTTTTTTGTAAGCATTCGTAATTACAGACTTGAGGTCATAGCCGGCTTCGATTTATAAAAATCAAAGGCTCGGCTTTAGCTAAAAACAACAAAAAGAACTTGTCAATAGACAAGTAGCAGCTGTGGTGACGATCGTTTCGTTGGCGCTACCCAACTCATCAGACCACTTGCTAACTATTGCTAATTTTCTTGGTATAAAATTCAGATAGCTTTAAAACTGAGGGACTACATTGCGTAGAAACGGACAGACGGACGGAATGACGGACATGCCTAGATCGACTCGGCTGTTGATGCTGATCAAGAATATATACATTTTATAGTGTCGAAAATGTCTCCTTCACTGCGTTGCAAACTTCTGACTGAAATTATAATACCCTGCAGGGGTATAATAAGTCGGGTTTTCCATCTTGATGCTACTACTCTAGAACGCACGAACCGATTTCCACGGTTTTGCATTCGTTGGAAATGTCTCGGAATTTGTGATTTTTGCAGTATAGAAAATTCAGGAAAAATTGCAACAGAAAAGCGGGAGTCATTTTTCCATAAAGCGCCATCACTGATATATAGCATGCCATTATTCTGTGCTCAGTTTAATTCACGAGACAAACCGAAATTCTGTTCAATTTTGTGAAATTGTGAAAAAAAAAAGTAAAAAAAAAAAAACTTATAAATAGGTATATAAAACTAAAAGAACAAAGAGTAACTGAGCAATAATAAAGAATTAAACAAAATTTAGGAAGGTAACAATAAAAATTGAGATCCAATGACTAAAAGTAAAAAAAATCAAACAAGCAAAAAAAAGAACATATGGGTAAATTAAAGTACAGCTGTGTTCACTGAAATAGCAGTGCGACAGAGGAACAACTTCAAAACGTTTTTTTGTACATATTCCTTTTTGCAAGCTGATCTATTGCACATTGTTTTTGTAAAATGGAACATAAAGATAAGAATCGAGAAAAAATTCCGTTAGATTTGCTCTATTTTTATGTTTTATTGATATTTTTCACATATGCAGCTCGTTTTGGCCGATCACTGAAATAGCAGTTTTTAATTTTCTTTAGCAAAAAGTGCCGAAATTTCTTTTAATTTTGTAAAAAATGACTTAAATTAAGGTCGTTATTATAGTTTATACTATAATACACCTTTACAACGCAAAAAAAATTATTTTAGTGGGCGCAGGACCTCACTGCTCCATGAGAGAAAGGTATCAGATTACTTAGCCTAGAAAGAAGGGCAAAGCATGTAAAGAGTCTCTAAATCTTTCAAATTGTTCTTTTAAAATAGTTTATAAGTCATAAAATATGAACCGAACCCAAAAAAAGCGAGGTACGATTCGCAAAACCACAATTGTACAGGCTCGACGCGTACTTCGCTTCAGCAAAGCTCGTCCTTTTTGCATCCTCTAGGGATATATGAGCGGGAATTGGCATGGGAATCAGTCATGGGACCATTTCCCGGGGACTTATTGAATAAATTTTAGATTCTCGAAGTCCATGGAAAATGTCACTGCTTGGTTAAAGGCATATCAAGGCCAGATTGGAGTTCGCCAATAGCCACTTGAACTGCCAGTATTCAAATGGCGTAATATCCTTTGGACAAATGACTCCAAACTGGTTTTATTTGGTGGAATAGGACAAGACAAGACCTCCAAATAGATAGTGCCCCCCAAACCATACGCTGAAGACAGTAAAACACGGTGGCCTTAAAATCATGGTTTGGGTATACTTTTCATACAACGTTTTAGGTCCCGTATATATGATCTGTCGGATCAAAGACCATTATGTTTATGTCCAAATATTAAAAACTGTCTTGCAGCCGTATCCTGAGGAAAATATTCCATTAATTTGCGCATTTCAGCAGTACAGTGACCCTAATCATACCAGCAAGGTGGCCAAGGAGTGGGTTCTTAATGGAAAAGTGGATGCAATGCCATGGCCTGCACAGTCCCCGGATATAAATTCGATCGAATACTTATGGGGGACATCAAGGGCTACGTATTAGAGAAGTTTCCGACTTCTAAGCCACAGCTTTGGCAATTTGTGCAGGAGGAATGAGGCCATATTCCCCTCAAGCGTTGCTAAGACTTGGTGGACTCCTTGCCACCCAGGTATGAGGCTATGATAGCTTCTAAAGGCTATTTAACAAAATATTAGATCATAGTCAATTAGAATTTAAGAAGAAATAGGTTTCTTATACGATATTTTTAAATTTATGAAGAATTTTAGTTTTTCACTGCTATTTCAATGATCGGCATAATATAGACCTTTTTTGTTGTTATTAGCTATATCTTCTAAAGGGTTTATGTTACCTAAATTAAATGATTGTGGTATTGTTAATAATTAAATATACTAAGCTTTTATGAAAAAAAAATTTATGAAAATAGTGTTTGTAACAGGATTTTCCGATCTTAAACGTGCAGGTCGTTGGGCACTGCTATTTCCGTGAACACAGCTGTATATTCTAAATTAATATCTTCCTAAATTAGATTTAATTTTGCACTTACGTCCAAAGCAATCTCCAAAGCCATCACCGTCCAATCGATCCTCAGATATATCACCTTGATCCTCGGTTGCGTGCCGATCCATTGGCTCTATATTTGTTAGGACGTCACTATCAAAAAGTTTATCCTTAAAGCAGAAAAAAAAAAAAAAAAATTTTAAGTATGCCAACAAATAATTACCAAAATACAACGAAATTCCGTACTATTTTATAATTTTTTTATTTTTTTTTTTTTTTTTTGTTTAAGCCCAGCTTTAAAACGACATGTCAGAAAATTAATTGATAGAATCGGGAAAAGGTCTACCTTGCACAGTGGTCGGGCCCATAGGACAAAAATAAAAAAATTATTTTGAGATATTCAAGAGAAACCTGGTTTATCTATCAGCTAATTGTCCAAATTTTACCATGCAATACGGTCTGCTTGGAATTTCTAACGGGACTTTCTGAAAATAGATTGACAAAAGCGTACTTACATTCATGCACTTTTAATTTGTCAGCAGTGGAGTGCACAGACCAAATTTAAAAATTTTAAATATAATATAAAACGCTGTTAAACCAAAAACAATTGGACTGGATATGGTAGATAAAGGTATATACTTTATTTGTACAGAAAAATATATGTATAATTTGTGTTGTTAACGCTGTTAAACCAAAAACAATTGGACTGGATATGGTAGATAAAGGTATATACTTTATTTGTACAGAAAAATATATATATAATTTGTGTTGTGTTTCGTGTAAATCTTTGTTAAAAAAGTGCGCCTTTTTAGTTCGTATATGTTGTGTTTACGTAAAGTTTTAAGTATTTTCCTCCTGTTGCCCCCAAATGAAATTTATGTGCCGTCATTAACTGAAATTTAAAGATTATAAAAATGTTTACTTCAGCTGCGGAAGCCTGCCGCAGCACATTTGCCATTACAAAACAAATGACCCTAATTTTTTAGCCAATAATCCGGGTGGGTTGTGATAAAAAAAATCGGGAAAAAATTTTTAAAATAAAAACGTCACCTGAGTACCTCGGGGCACTTATCCCTTAGTGTTGGTGGATGTTTTTTGTGGACAGTTAGAATAGGATGTACACCGAAAACAAACTTTTTTGTAGGGACTAGGAGATTCGCTATTACTCGTAAGCATGTAAATATTTTTTAATAAAAAATTTTTAAAAAATTTGTTGAAATGTTGTGTTATTATATGGTATTTAAATTCAATACGCTAATTTTAGCCGTTTCGACACAAAATTTTTTTGAAAAGTAGGCAGTTTTGAACCGAATTAACCTTACCCCCCGTTAAGCTATGTACGTTTGTTGCTGGACAAATTAAATACACAATATATAAGTGAATTATTTTTTTTTTACTTTAGGGCACTTATATTTCATCAACGTTCTCGTTAAGAGATCAAAAATTAAAAAATTAAAGTTAGGTCTTTGAAAAAATAATTTTATAAAAATCTGCAAAATTGGTAAAGATATCTTAAAAACAAAAAAGTTTTTCATACTAAGTATTGATTTTTAACAGATTGTTCCTATGGCAGCTATATGATATAGACGAGCAATATGGCCAATTTTTTGTGGATATACCTAAAACATTTTTCTAGATTTTTGGTGAAAATTTCATAGAAGTATTTATGGCCGCGGTTCCATACAAGCTCGGCCAGTGTGCCTTGGTGAATTAACTTAGTCTATATACATAAGTATAATAAATTATAAAAATTACAAAATAATTAATCAAAATAAATTATAACAAGAAAGAAAGCTAATTTTGGCCAGCCAAAGTTTGTACCATTGCAGGTAACAATAAAAATATATCATAACTAAGCCAAAAATGCATTAATTTCGATTCGGAAAGCAGTTTTGTGTAGGTATTTATTAATTTTAAAAAACTGCATACCAAATTTAAAATTTTAAGAAATCAAAATTTCTTGTCATTTTTGCTAATTTTAATGATGTAACCTCTTATCAAATTTCGCAAAAATGGCCAAAAAAATCGATTTCTTCCGGACATGAAGGAGACGTTTCCGACCCTATAAAGTATATATATTCTTGATCAGCATCAACAGCCGAGTCGATCTAGCCATGTCCGTCTGTCCGTCCGTCTGTCCGTCTGTCCGTTTCTACGCAAACTAGTCCCTCAGTTTTAAAGCTATCTGAATAAACCTTTGCATATAGTCTTATATATACTCTCACTGCTATATATGTCGGAACGGGCCGGATCGGACGACTATATCATATAGCTGCCATACAAATGTTCGATATATTTTTAGAAAAAAAATTAAAACTTTGTTGTTTTTCAACATTTTGGCACCATTTTTTAGATATGACCATTTTATATTATTTCTGAATTTTGGTAAAAATTTTATGAAAATCGGACGACTATATCATATAGCTGCCATAGGAACGATCGGGAAATTAATAGAAAAAAATTATATATTCGTTGTTTTTCAACGTATTTTAATCTACTCCGGGATATAAGCTTATTTTATTATTCTAGAATTTTGGTATAAATTTTAAAAGAATCGGACAACTATATCATATAGCTGCCATATAAACCGATCGGTAGATGTATACAAAATGTAAAGCTGGGAATGCAAAACTGTAACTGTCAAACTGTAAACATAATAAGTATAGGTAAAATGTAATGAAATAATATCTGGAAGGGTATACAAACTTCGGCGTGCCGAAGTTAGCTTCCTTTCTTGTTCTATTCTGTTTTGTTTCGGTTGTCCCATGAACCGTGGTCTATTGCGTATATATTGGTATACATTCACACGCATAGGCAAGCAAATCGTTAAACGTTTAGTTGCGATTTAAAAACAACATTGCCTAAAACTTGTCTTTTCTTTTTAATAGCATTTTGTTATATGGACACTTGTTCACAAAAATAAATAAATAAAAAAAAAAAAAACAAACAAAGGTGAAGACCGTTCGCGCTGAGCTGTTCGGTCACTTGGTCTTTTGCTGGCTCTCTGTGTGCGAACGTTTCTCGTCCCGCTCTTTACGCACGGTTCATTGAAAGGCCGAAGTAAAAAGAGCTCAACGAAAAGCGTTAAACAAAAAACCGAAACGAAGACAGCAAAACTCCCTAGCTCTGAGCAAAAGCCGGAGAGTATGATCTTTATCGGTTTTGCTCGCAACGAGAGCACAGGAAAAACCCCGTCGACAGTTATTTGCAAGCTCTGCTAGAAAGATTCCCCTGTTGATGCTGATCAAGAATATATATGGTTTATGGGGTCGAAAATGATTCCTTGACTTAGAAAAATATTATTTTGTATTATAAAATCGGATTTTTTATATTAAAAAACTTCTTGATTTTTAAAAATTAAAAATATCATAACTCGGCCAAAAGAGCATTAATTTTAAATCTGAAAACTGTTCTGTGCAAGATTTTCTACAGTTAATAAATCTGCATACTTCATTGAAAATTAAATTTTTTATTAAAATCAAAAATTTTAATGATGTAACCCCTTACAAAATTTTGCAAAAATGGCCAAAAAATCGATTTCTTCCGGACATGTCTAGAAAGATTCGCATGTTAATGCTGATCAAGAATATATACTTTATAGGGTCGGAAAGGTCTCCTTCACTGCGTTGCAAACTTCTGACTGAAATTATAATACCCTGCAAGGGTATAAAAACAAAAAATAGTTTGTAACTCTAGCAGATAGGGGCTCTTAACATCACCGTTTATTAGGTTATTAAGAAATATAAGACCAAGCATCGTTCTACGGTTAGTTGGGGAAGGTAAATTATTTAAGATAAGTCTACTAGAATAAGACTGTAATCTCGTTCAGATTCAATGCAGTTAACATGGGCTTCAAATTGAGGATTACAGGCGCAAAAACCATTCTCCAATACAGGGCGAACTATTAAAGTAAAAAGAGTCTTCGTTACATAAGGGGAATCAAATATTAAGGGGGTCTTCTCATTCAAAAGCCCTTTTTTGGACCCTTTTTAAAAAAATTCTTATTTGAAAACGCAAAGAATAATTGAAAACTTTTTTATTTATTGTATTAAAAAATGTTCAAAGTAACTAAAAAAGTTGTTCTGGCCTCGATACGAGGGTTGTTCGAAGAGTAATGAGACTTCAAACTTGGTGGTCGAAAAAAAAGGTGTCGTCCTGGCGGCCACGATTCAGGGTCTCCAGAGCGTCCGAAATGATAAATAACAAGAAAGGAAGCTAACTTCGGCACGCCGAAGTTTTTATACCCTTGCAGATTGGTTTTCATATTTATATTATAAATTATAATGCCGAAAACAGACACTAAACAGATAACATAACATTTTACCTATACTTATTATGTTTACAGTTTGACAGTTACAGTTATACATTCGCAGCTTTACATTTTCTCTACGGATCGCTTCTATGGCAGCTATATGATATAGATGTCCGATTTTCAAATTATTGTTACCAAAATTCTGAAATAATACTAAAAGCTCATGTCTCAAAGTAGATGAAAATACGTTGAAAAACAACGAAGTTATAATTTTTTCTTTTACTTTCCCTATCGTTCCTATGGCAGCTATAAGATATAGTCGTCCGATTTTCATAAAATTTAAACCAAAATTCTAAAATAATACCAGAAGCTCATGTGTCAAAGTAGATTAAATTACGTTGAAAAACAACGAAGTTATAATTTTTTTCGATTAATTTTCCGATCGTTCCAATGGCAGCTATAAGATATAGTGGTTTTCATAAAATTTTTACCAAAATTCTGGAATAATATAAAATGGCTATATCTCAAAAATGATGCAATAATATTGAAAAACAGCCAAGTTATAATTTTTTTTCTAAAAATTTATCGAACATTTGTATGGCAGCTATATGATATAGTCGTCCGATCCGGCCCGTTCCAACATATATAGCAGTGAGAGTATATATAAGACTATATGCAAAGTTTCATTCAGATAGCTTTAAAACTGAGGGACTAGTTTGCGTAGAAACGGACAGACGGACGGACAGACGGACATGGCTAGATCGACTCGGCTGTTGATGCTGATCAAGAATATATATACTTTATAGGGTCGGAAACGTCTCCTTCACTGCGTTGCAAACTTCTGACTGAAATTATAATACCCTGCAAGGGTATAAAAACGGGTTTATAATCAGAATAGATGTCATTTTCGGGTGACGG